GGGCGGGTGCTATCCACACTATTTTCTGTTTAACCATTAGACTTGGACTCTTACTCCTATGCATTGTAACCATGACTAAACCATTTGACCAAGATGCATGCACACTGTCTAGGCTAGAGAGATGAGAAGCAAATCCTTTCTAAAGAAAGAGGTGAAGGAAAGAAATATCTATGACTTACAATTGGAATGTGACCAACCCAACTTCAAATTTTCCCGATCAAAGACCATACGATGACCTGTCATGAAGTTCTCTGCAACACATTTTTCCAATCCAGTATTATTGAACTCTCACAGATAGAGATGCAGGACAAGAAGGTAGTAAAGCATTAAAAGAGGATTCAGGCATCCTGTCTCAAGCAGGAAGATAACTCACGTCCAAGGACACCATAGTCTTCATCTCCACGTATAACAGTTAAACAGAAAATCCTGAATCCCTGCATAAAGATGCTTTCAGAATCTTGAGAGAAAAGATAATAATGTTCTAGTTTTCGTTTGATTTTGGAATGGTCCAAACTTTGCAAACAGAAGTCTCCTAAAGTTGTCTTTAGCAATCCAGTTCATCAAGGGACTCTAATAAAACAAAGACAATAACAGCAACATATGGATCAATGCAGAAATACCAAAATTTGACACATAATGCAAAAAAAATTATCTAGAACTGTGCATAAGTAACTTGGATCCCTCTTCTAAATTTCATGTTTGACCTTTACTTCAACTTTGTTGCAAACCAATATAATTACTCTAAAATAAGTAATTTCATTTTTGGCTCACATATGGGTAACAAAATTGATAACTCACCTGGGCTTCAGAGTAGGAATATATATGATTATGGATTTCGAAGCTTTGGTTCATGGGGAACACAAATCTCATGTCAGGAATGTGAAGTGGTTCCTCTGAACTGTTCCAAAAAAATGTATACAATTAGTTTCAAAGAAATTAGAAAAAGGTGCCACCCCAAATCTTTGTACAACCATATTCTATCCAACCTGGAATTATAACAGTACTTCCAAGGATTATCAGGGATGCTAACTCTTTTAGCATTCACTTGCTTGTCAAACTGTAACAAAGAGACAATCATTTCAGGCCACATAAAAGATACTCCTTTTATTTCATATTTTGTCATTGTTTTAATTTGGCACACAGTTTAAGAATGACTGAATGAACAAAATATAACCATCTGACTTTGCATAGTTACATTAAGATTCTGAAGCTAAAATGTTAACATTAATAAATTTAGGGTTTAAATTTTGAAAGATGTATAATTTGAAAAAAGGAAAATGCGCAGGCGTGCAGCATAGAATGAACAGTGAGAAACATTTATAATCTGCAGTAAGGACAACAAGAAGCACCTCTGTAACAATTTTGTCATAGATTTCAGATGGAAGAAATGTGAAAGATGTCCCACTGTCAACCAGTGCTTGGAAGCCAGACCTTGGAAGGCAAAAATTCCCTACACAACAACTCTCAACTCCCACAAAGTAGGTTTCACTGAAACAAATCACAAGCTAATTACTCAACACTTACCATAATATTAGATTAGCTCAAGGACTGACACCAGATAATTTAAAGTACCTTAGTTAAAAAATTTCTTGGTAACAATGAAATAACATTTAAAGAGAGCAATTAGATGGCATACAATTTTCCTTCAATAGGCAAAAATGATGTATATTGCTGAGAACCAGTGCCTTTATCACCAAAAAAGATTCTGCCTGAACCATTCTCATCAAAACAAATCGAGAATGAATTTTGAATCAGTCCTGCTTTCGCCAGCAAACTTGGAACTGAAATGTTCCCGGGTCCCAGACCCATAAGACCATCAGGAGCGGCTCCATCCAAATAGCCACCACTTTGCTTCCTGCCACAGCTGCATGGGAATAAAATTGATTAAAGAAACAAGAGACATCCTGAGCTAAGTGTTAACAAGAACCATATAATGATCAACAAACTACTCATCACGTCAGATTAAATAATGGTGAAATCCATATAAACACACCCTATTATTACTGAGGCTTGTATAGAACTTTGTGGGGCACGGTCACTGACTGATTTCAAATGTAACTTGTCTACAACCAGATATCCAGAACTTGAGGTATTATCAGAGTCGTATTCAACAATGTAAGGGCAGAGGCCATTCCCACTTTTGCAGTACGGACTTGCTTCACATAACTCGTGGCTGCATGATAGATTTCTGCTGGTGCTTGATAAAGATGGGGTATACTCATTCAAATCTCTATCCTGCAGAATAGATGCCCCCCCAATTATATGGGAGCATCTGGCAATCAATCATCATAACTAAAACGCTAAACCTCCTAAACATCTGTAACTAGACTTATATACAGTTCAAGGAATTAGCCACGTTGAACAATCCATTTAACTTGAAAACGAAAATAGATTCTAAATCTCTTGCTAATTTAAGCAAACTTAACACAATTTTCACCAACATGTCATAAAGCAAAGCAAAATTGAGGAAAAAAACAACACTTCTGTTCCACATATTTCAAATTTAACCGTGTCAATTAAGCCACTTTCATCCATTTGATTAAATATCATTCCTTTAACATGGCTACGATGACAGGAGTTAAAAATCGCCATCATTTCCCACATATGTTGACACCACCACTAACAAGTGGTGAAGGTATCATTATGGAATTAAAGTCCAATCAACAAAAGCATTCATTAAAAGGTAAAAAAAATTTGCTTTACGGAAAGAAAATTTTATCTTCCAACTTCCAATCATTCATAGAATCACGTACACTATTCCACAACCATGATTATAAAATACACATACGCGTCGAACTGTCAAATAAAACCCCAGGAAAGCAGGGTATCTATAAAAATTGTTGCAAAGCTAAAACACAGTGAAATTGACTCACATTACACATGATCAGTCAGTGGTGAACAATAATAAACAAAAGCACTGGGAGAAAGAAACGGAAAAAAACTAAAAAATAAACAGGTAAAAGTTGAAAAATGGTGGGTTACCAAGGAAGTATAATAGCTAGCAGACAGGGGAGCGCATTGTATGCAATCACATGGGACCCACAAGAGATCACTTCCAGCATCCAATGCAACAAGGAAAGAAACATTCGGTGTTCCTATGTCAATCCATGTGTAATGTAACCTGAAAATTTCCAAACTTTTTTGGTGCTCGAAATCCGTTAAAAAAAAAAAGAATAAAATTGATTGTTCTTTTGACTAACTATGACAAACAAGAGAACATTTTCAAAACATGCATTGAATCTGAATGAATAAATCTAAGCATAGTCTTCGAATTAAAACAAGCAAAATTGATAAAATAATGAAATTTTTAAGGAAATCAGAACTGGTTTTTCTCGTTAATCTTTCAACTCTTTTGATTTTCTCAGGAAACAAACAGGAGATGAACTGAAATTTTAACTAACCAATCGAGCTCGTTGCCGAAGAAGAGAGTTTTGCTTCCTTCCGAAGGGAAAAGGAGCTGATTGTGCGAGCCAAGCTTAATCCTCTGCCTCTTCAAATCGTTGCCAAGAAGCAACTCGAAATACTCCGAGCTGTTTCTCCTCGGCCAGGAAACCGCATTGCTTGCATTTCCATTCCGGGAAGTCCACAGCGCTTTGGCTTCATCGGAGAACCTATGTATCAACTTCGTCGAAAATGTCAGCGCCACCGAACCACCAGGCCTCCAGTACAGGAAGCAAAAGGAGAGTATCATCAAGCCCACCACGCGATTCTCCATGGATACCTACAAAGAATCACAGAGAAAGGAAGGTTCTTGGATTCGTGAGTGTTTGAATTTTGAGAGCTTTTTGCTTTTTTGAATTGCAGAGAGTGTAGAGGGGAGAGTGAAAGGACATGTGCGTAGTGCGCACCTGCTACGATAACGTTTTGGGGTTCACGTGAAAAGCTAGGGATTTGGCATGGTTTAATTAGACATCCCGCGTCTGATTAAGGTTTCGGGGGAAAGATAAAATGGGTGGAGTAAGGGGGGAGCAATCAAGAATTGCCACGTTGCCAGATTATTTGTATACGTGTCGACTAATGATGCTGGGCGGTTGGTAATGGCACGTGGAGTACTTTTTTTTGCTTTTAATAAAAAAACATTTCTGGTGGCATGTTTCGCAGGATTTCAAATAAACTTGTTTTTTTTTTTTTTTTACAAGTTAATGATTAGAAAATTACTACGAATTAATTGTTAATAATTGATTTTCAGACGATGCGACTATTTTTTAGTGGAGTTTACGATAATGGTAGAATTCGAAACTCCAATCACTTTATCTAAATACTTAACACTTGGGATCGAACCATTGAATCTAAAAGTCTAAATCGAAATTCAAATAAACTTGTTAAGAAGTTATTTGTTCTTTTCACAAATTTTAATTTTATAAGGGCAAAATTTAAATATGAGAGTAAGTTTTAAGGAAATTTGCATACCTAATTTTTTAAAATTTTATTTATGTCATTTTAAAAGGATTGTAATATTGGATAACATTTTATATAATTTTTATATATTATTAAATAAATAGATATATTTATTATTATAAAACTTAAATAAATAGAATAAAATAATTATTTAAATAACATGTAAAATTATATAAAAATATATTATTTTTCTTTCAAAAGTTATTTAAAGGTTGTTTGGATTTTTTTTAATACTATTGATAGTTGATAGTTAATATTTTATAATTGATAATCATTATAATTTATAATTTAAAATATTTAATT